TCAGCAATGCCACGTCTTCCGCTTCCTGGGTGTCCAGGTGGTGGGTGTGCAAACCTGGATCCATCATGATCCATCCAGATTCAAGTTGAGGTGCAAACTCCAAAACCAGTAAAACCTCCATATCTGGCAGTTAAGAGCCAAATGATGAGTGAAACAAAGGAAACAACAAAAACTGTTTATAGAATGTAGACATATGTAGACCAACGGTTGAGGCTTATGAGGGAAGCCCTCCAAGCGCTCGGGGCCCTTGACTACGGCCCGCGATTTCCAACGACGGACACTGGACGGCGAACTGGACGGCGGTGTCATCCACTCAACTCCAGAAAGCCCCGTTCCCCCGGGTGGAACCCGTTCCCCTACAACTCCAGTCTGACCCAGTAAAACCTGGTCCTTGACCTCCTCGAGTAGTGTTTTTGTATGACCAACGTCAGTAAAATGAGATCATTGACTTCTAGGGTTCCTGACCTGGGTCTGTAGCTCGATACGGGGAGGTCTTGGGGATCGGAACTGGAAGACCAGTCTACTCAGCCAGGGCCATCGTCCTAACTGACCCAGCTCCACCATGCGCGATGCGACACCAAGCGGCGCAAACGAATTCGAAGGGTGAAACGTCAGGATGCACATGACCTTTCCTCGGCTCCTCAGTGTGGAGTGGGATTCGCACGCAAGTTGGCAAAGCAAAAGCTTGAAGGATCGAAGCTGTGGCGAGGGCAAGGTGGAAGGTGCGAAACTAGGGCAACTATGGGCAACTGAGATCTGTTCGGAAGGACGAAAAAAAACACCACCCAGACCGGTGATGACTCACCTTGGATGACGACACAGTGTTCCCTTAAGTCGACGCTGTGAGTCAATACCTGGAGCTGTTCATTTTGGCTAGCCCACCGAGGTCTCCTGGTCTTATCCTACAGCTAATATGTCTATTGCCCCTTGGGCCAGCTGCCGAGACACGGGGGGATAGAGCCCAAGCGCGCGGTAGGTGCGATAAAAGGTCCAAGCAGAGACCAGCAACGCCGTCTGCAAAGAGACCGAGGAGAGCCTCGGTCGAGCGCCGTCGCGCTTTTACGCTGACGCTGACAAGAGCGTGGCTTGGAGCGGCTTGGAGGATGTGCGACCGTGCGGAACGGAAAGTTCTGTACAACAATCTTCCCCATCTTTACGGGGGCACCTCCCAGTTCGTACTCGGTCGTGCCTGGTCAGTCTCCTGGTGACCCATAGGGTCTCTTCTTCCGATTCTTTTGGAATGAGGGTGGCAGATCCTTCCCTACGGCATCTCTATCGGCAAATGCTTCCCTACAGATCCCTATACTATAGGAGTCGCACCAGTCAGCGACCTGTGTCCAAGCCCCGATTAACCGCACGAACGCCGGTCGTGGCTGCTGGATGCTGCACGTTTACGGCATGATGCGGTCGTGGTCGAGTGAGGCGAGTCACTGAACAAAATCGCTCAAGCAAGCAGGACCTGGTAATCCCGGTAATCCCCAAAACAATCTAACATTCCTGTATACATTTCTCGTCAAACACTTCATCCTTAGACGTCAAACGTATGCTGCCACATGACCAGAACTGCTAAACATGGGATCACGTTGTTTAAAAAAACAAACACTTAGCGCCTCTGCATGGTTTATCCAAACGGTTGAAGCATCTTGAAGCGTCACTGCCACTCAACAGCACAAGAACCATCAAGAACCTGCAAGGATGAAAAGGTTTTGCAATCTAAATGAGCAAGGGCCTCCAGCTAGTCTTGCCCAGGCAACTGTGGTCCCCAAGTAGACACTCACACTTCGCGTCAAACATTGGGATTAGGACTGGGACTCGGACTGACCAACTTTGTGGCAAAGGAACATCCAGAGTTGGTTGGTTGTGGGCGAAAACGTGTTCTTAGGGATTCGCTAGGTGCCTTTTAGACACTTGGGACCCAACAATACAAGCAGGCTACCAAGATCCCGCCCTTGTGCATGCAAATTGAAACATGCTTCTGGGTCCTCGTCTCTGCACCCCCAAATTCTCAGTTCTGGCTAGATCATCCAGTACGTCGCACCATCCCGTGCGTCGCACCCCGTCCTAATGATGGAGCCCTCTCTCCCGGCTGAACCCGGGGTGAACTGGTGTTGACTGATTTTTGAACGTCTCTGGTTGCACGATCTAGTCGTTCTGGTTGCCCGCAGTGATTAGACTACGGGCAGTAGTTAGTTAGTGGTACTTTAACATGTTAAAGGATAGAACAGTAGAAGGTGGAGTCTCGCCGAACTTGACTACAGTGTTATAGTAGTATCCTTGAGCAAGAACCTCTTCATTCTATATGTTATAAAGGATACTTCAGTCTTGCCAATGTCGAGCAAGAACTGACTACAGTACTACCCCGACACTCCATGGGACTGCCGTATATGCCTACATTGACCCCTCTGGCACCACCCCAACTGATCGGCATACATATGGCAGTCCCAAACAGGTCGTGTCTGGGTTATAGTAAACCCCCAAGGCTGGATAATGATTCTCCACATGGCGTTGGGTGCCAAACCTGGAGGAAGTGGGGGTGGTTCGGTCACATCCACTTGGATGGGACTACAAAAACACCCCGGAGCTCACGTGACTCCTGGCCCTTTCTTGCCGTCTGTTCTTTACAAAGGAATCCGTCTAAGGTACCACTCCTAAGGGCAACTCCCACATCAAGCATGTCCAGGCACATGAGGCAGTTCCACACGCCCATAAAGCGCAATGCTTGTGGCGCTCCCTCGTCCAACAGTTGGTTGTTCATGACCCTCTGAAAGCCGCCACCTGCACAAGCCGCATGCCCCTAAGACATCCCATGACATCCCTATATGCGGGAGGGTTGAGTCACAGCATCTCGTTGGAAGTCATGGCCGGGGGCCCTGTTTGTGGAGACGCTGCGAATGGTTTAAGTCACTGCTGCACGGCTGCGACTCAACCCAAATGCAACGACTTATCCCCAGCATCCAGTAAGGCACAGTAAGATAGAAGGTCTAAGATGGAATCTCTAGCTCCATTAACAGGACACGGTACAGTGTGCTGGATTCAGAAGTGCCTGCTGAGATGGAGTTCATTTCAACTGGAACACAAAGTGAAGCCAAAGTTATTTTTATTTGGCAAAGGAACAATGTCTGCAAAAAACACGTGAAGTAAAGGAATATTGAATATCGTATGGTGCCAAGCAAAACGAACTGAGGTCTCCGAAGTGTCGCTCCTCGCGCCTGGGAAAAGGGCCAACACGGCAGCCCCCCCAAGTACAAGTCGACGAGGTCCTTTGTGCGCCGACGCCGGGCCGACCGGTTGGGGGCACGAAGCCGGGTTCCGAACCACGTGCGGAGGACCTCGCCCGCAGGACGTGCGGAGGACGTGCGCACGTCGAGGAGGAGGAGGAGGAGGAGGTCACCAAAGACGTCTCCAAGACGTCTTCAGCGCCTAGCTCCAAGCGACTCCTGAAAAACTCCAAGAGGTCGGGGGCAGTGGAAGCGAAGCGCTCCGCCGCCCACGATCCTCCTCCGACTCGGCGGGCCGGTCCCCCCTGGGGCGGATGACGCAACGATACAACGCAACCGGGTGGCGCATCAAACGGAAGTGAAGAACTGCTGATGTCGCTCGCGGTGATTTGGTCAGAGCATGACATCGATTTGAACAGGTCTGTGGCTGGTGTGTTGCAAGGCTTCTTTTCTTTGGCCTGGAAAAATACCAGTTCGCCTACACACACTCGCACAAAGAAAAATGTCTCTCCTTGTTGCTTGAAAGTGAATAGACTCATAATATGTCATATATACTCTGACTCTGAGTGTTTCCTTCAATCTTCCTGCCGCGGCAGAAGCCTGCTCATGCAGGTATACCAGCTCGCCCCAGTGGGGCGAGACCGCCGTGGACGGAGCCACTTGAGGTTTCTATAGCCTACAGCCACTTGAGTGTTCCACTCTATAGAAACCCCAATCGGTGTTTTTTTCCTGAACCAGGTCGGAAACAGCCCGGAATGCACCAGGTCCGCACATCGTTCGTGTCCTTCCATCCCGTTGTGGGAACAGCACGGTCCACACCTGGTCCGCACTGCCCCTGCGGCAGGTAGAATGAAGTGGCCCGCTGGGCCACCGCACAAGATCAGCGTGAGCAAGGAGCCCAGGCAGCGCCGATTCACGCAAATGCCTTTCAAGCCGGTCCGGCTGGAGGACGATGTCGGCCACGCGGAACTCAGAAATCCGGAGTCCAATCAAGCAGAAAGAAGGTGATCTAGGTCACTGGGTGGAACACATCTATAATACACTCCAAGGACTGCCATATTGACCCCCTAAACCACCCCAACTGATCGGTAAATATGGCAGTCCCATGGAGCGTCTGGGATTGATGAACGTTGATTGAACTCATGGGAGGCGTTTCGGATCAATACTTCGTGACTTGTGGTACTTGTGGCTAGCTGAGCTGTGACAAGTAACTTGAAGTTGCACTATAAGTTCTATAAGTTATGTTATAAGTTCTATAAGTTCATATGGTAACTTATAAGTTCAATAAGTACCAGAGTCCTACTTATGGAACATAGTAGTAACTTGTGAACTTATAGTACTTATGTTGGAGGCTACTTATTCTACTTATTTTCTACTTATTTTTAGCTATTTTTTAGCTATTTCTAGCTAATTCTAGGTAATTTCTAGCTATTTCTAGCTATTTCTAGCTAATTTTTAGCTAATTTCTACTTATTTTTATAGCTATTTCTGCTTGTTTTCCATCACTGCCTACCTACTTCTATAGCTATTTGTGTATATAGTTTTTACTTTTTAAACCTTCAATATGAAAAGTTTGGCTTATGTTCTTTTGGTTTTTCAACAAGACTATATTCAAATAGATATATATCTGGACGCATGCATTTGTGTGATGAGTGTGCTTTGTCAAGCGGCCCTGGGGACGCTCTGTTGTGTCTTTTTGCGCGTTCGTGTTGGATCGGTTGCTGTTTTCCGCTGTAGTTTTTGGTTGCCAGAAACGCCAATTGTTTGTTATAGTTGCGTTTCATGGCGGAATGTCAGCAGTTTTTGGCTGCGGTGGCTCGCTACCTGGTTGCCATGAAAGAGAACAGTGGATATGAAAAGATGAGGGAGGACCAGTTCCACAACTGTCGCCTTAAGATGCAGTCGTGGCCGCGAGTGAACATGGAGCAGGCATCATCGATTGCAGAAGCATTGAGACACATGGATTGGACACCTGAGCAGCTTCATGACCTACAGCAGGAAGTGAATTCCAAAACCAGTGTGGCTTCCGAGATGGCTCCGAACACTGTCTCCAGAAGACCGCTGCAGGATTACCAGGCCTTTCTGAACTACCTGCCGATGTCCTTGTGGCTGCAGATCGTGGGCGATAAGCCTTTGGAAGGCTTAGCGCTATTGACTCGCCACCTTGGAAGACTTGGTCTGAAGCTGCCAAGCGAAAAAACAGTTTCCAAAGCCACGGCGCTGATGCTCTATAGGTTCCATGAAGAGATGGATAGGGTTGGGCTTCATCATTGCTTTTGTCATGTGAAGCAAACCATGAAGAAGGAGCTGTTGCTGTTTCAGAAGGACGATGGGCGTCCATATGTGCTGTCTCTTCCTGAAGACCCCAGGCAGCTCCCTGAATGCTACAGCAGAGAAGCTTTCGCGAGCGAAGGACCTTGCCAGTGCCAGTTGGATGTGTCAAAGTTGGCCTTCATCCAAAGCTTGGTCCGAGAGAATGCCCAAGGATCTGACTCTGAGAAGCTTTGGTAATCCAGCCGCGGATGTCATGAATCTGACAGCTCTGACACGAAGCCGCTTCAACGATAGTGGCAGTGGCCTGAGGAATCTGCAACTGTTTCCGCCCCGCCAGAGGGGTTTGTCGTTGACACAGGGCTCGGCTTCACATGCTTTGGCCGCAAGTGGAGACCTCTTGCCGGTGGAATCCGGCCCCAACTTGCAGCTGGCCCTGCCAAGCTCTGCCGCAGCAAGCTCAGCCACAGCTCCATCAATGAATCGGGAAGCACCCGTGCCTGAGAAAGATGTCACAACAGCTGTGGCATCAAATGTGGAGCCAGACTTGAGCAAGAAAGATCTCAGAGAGGATGTGGGACCAAGTCTTGAGAAGACTGCTCCTGCGGATCCCCAAGACCATGTTGAAGAAAAGCCAAACGACCAGAATGAGAAGAGCCAGTTTGAACGAGTCACCGAAGAGCTTCGGCAAAAGCTTGATGACAAGGCTGCAGTGAAGCAACGGCCTGCTGCTGCCATGAAAAGGCCTGTATGCAAAGACCCTCCACAGTCACAGCAGACAGCTCCATCCAAGAATGTCAAGAAGAAGGCGCCAGAGCCAAAGAAGAAAGCCGCTACAAAAGCAAAACCAATGAAGAAGCCAAGCTCGAGTGGCTGTGGAAAACGAAAGAAAAGTTTCGATGATGGTCGCCCACCGGACGCCTTGAAGCTTTACCCAGACGGGTGCGGCAAATGCCGGTACAAACCAGGATGTTGCCCATCTTGCTACAGGGCGCGTGGTGAGTGGTGATCAGAAGTGGTGTTGGAAAAAAGATGAAAATTGAGCTAACAGCGGCCACTTGGACGCTCTGTTTGTGTTTGCTTGTGTGTTTTGTGGATAGCGGCCACTTGGACGCTCTGTTTGTGTTTGCTTGTGTGTTTTGTGCTTGAGTTTGTTACTGTGTATGTTTCAGGTCTTTCAATTTCATGTGGCCGCAATCTCTACCAGCATCATCTATAAACAGTTAGTAAGGCAGTCAAGGAACATTTTTTATAGGTGCACACAGACGCACAAACACACACTCTTGTCAGCCTTTGGCAAATCAATTTTGGATAGTTCTTATGTTTTTATGTACACACGTGTGCGCATACACCTGATGCTGACTTTGCAATGGCCAACAAAAGAAAAGCGCACGCAGACCTTTGTCTCAACTCTCGTCAAGCGCAAAAGCTTGCTGGCCTTCCAAACTGCTCTGTGAGGCAGGCTGCTGAAGTTGCTGTTACCCTGGCTCATGATGAAGCGCCCTCAGAGCAAGACAAGAAGCGTGAGGCGAAGTCCATTACCAACGGAGTGGCGAAAGCGGCCTCAGAATACAAGCAGACGTACATTGAAGAGCTGAATGTGGATGGCCAGACTGTATATGTCACCAACTTGCAGTTGCTGTTGCAGCGGTATTGCCAACAATCGCGTGAGTTCGCCAAAGCGGTACGCGAAGCATTGAGTTGTGTCTCTGAACCATTGAGTATGGTTGCCTATGTGGATGAGACTGTGAGTGGAAACCCGCTGAACCCTTGCAACCCAAAGAAGAGCCACCTCATCTACCTTACTTTCTTGGAAATGGGGCCCAGGATCGGGCTTCAAGAGTTTTGGTTGGTGGGCGGAGTCATCACCAATGGCAAGGCTGCCTCTGTGTGTGGTGGCCTGAGCGAAGTGTTCAAAAACATCTTGCTGCATTGGCATCATTCGGATCACGGCATCCTACACAGAAGCGGCTTTAGTGTGGAGCTGGAAGGTGAACACTGGCTGTTTCGTTGCAAGCTTCATGCGCTCATCACAGATGAGGCTGCTTTGCGGAGTGTTCTGGGCAGCAAAGGCGCTGCAGGGATGAAACCCTGTAGCAAATGCTACAATATAGTGAGCAAGTGGCATGGTGCTTCGTTTGACTTGCAAGATGGTGAGACCGTCAAAGACATCACAGAAGCAAATTATAGATCATTCTTGAAGTACACTGACCAAGAAGTGTTTGATGTCATTGAACGCTTGAGGCGCGCACATGACGAGTTGCCACAAAATGAAATCGTCAAACGGGAGCAAGTGTATGGGTTTTCATTTTGCAGCAGTGGGCTCCTCGCAGATCCGATCGCTCGGTGTCTTCTCCCCCCGAGTCGATGCTACTATGACTTCCTGCATTGCCTTTTCAGCAATGGTATTGCGTGCATTGAAGTGTGTTTGTTTTGGGATGCTGTGAAGCAAAGCACTGGCCTGACGCTACATGATTTGCAAAGGTTTTGCGAAGAGTCTGGGTTCAACATGAACCGCAGTGTACATGATTGTCGGCTGAAGCGTGTTTTCGACTCCAAGTACATAGAGAAGCCGACATACGGTGGTGATGCCAGCCATTGTGTTTTGGCGTTGTTCATACTGGAGGTGTTTGCGCGACACGTGTTGTCCAGCCATACTGCGTTGACTGGCCAGATTAGATCACTGACTTGTTTGTCGTGTTTGTGCCGGTGGTACTTCAGGTTGAAGGCTGGAAAATGTAAGCCACGTCTGTCTTCGAGTGAGCTCATCAATAACCTTGTCGCCGAACATTTGGGTGTATATGTCGCAGTGTATGGGAAGCAAGCAGTGAAGCCCAAACACCATTTCAATTTTCACTGTGCTGAAGGTCTGGACTTACAATCCCAAACGTTGGATTGCTGGGCAACTGAACGAAAGCACAGGGTGTACAAAAATTGCGGAAAGAATTTTCCTTACAACGGCGGTTTTGAATCTGCGGTCTTGAACAAGCTGCTCATGGTTCAGGAGGAACAGCTGAAGGAGAAAACAGCGGATCCATGTCTTCTGAATGGCAAATCCGCTCCAGATGTAGCTGCGAAGATGCATTGTATTTCGGCAGAGGTAGCTCAGGGATGCCGGTACAACTACCTTGAATACCACAGTGGTGTCCTGTGCTTCTTTGACAACAAGCAAAGCTGTGGCGGTCAAATAAATCATTGCTTAGCTGTGTTTCCAAGGGGCCCGGGACAGGCTGTTTACTATCTCTGTCTTAAAGGATTGGAGCGCGTCAGTCAAGCTGATGGTGGAGATGCTTGGCACTTCAGCCAATGGCGAGATGCTGGCTCTGAGTTCCTTGTCAATTTGGCGCAGCAATCAGCGCGCATATTTAGTCCGATCTTGTGGTGGAAACAAGGCAACTATATTGTTGTCAGCTATTGAAGAAAAAGGAAAAAGGTAAGCGGCCTCAGGGACGCTCTGCTGCTTCGTGTGTATAGTGAGACAAGGGGTATAGGCCTCACGGATCATGTGTCGCTTTGTTTAAACTGCTTTGGCTGTCGGTGGAGAGCAATGTTTGAGCCATCACAGGTTCCAAGTTCAAGCTGGTACGGTTTTCAGTTTCAAAGCTCGCCATGGAGCATAGCGAGAACGATTTGGCCATCAAGCTCATTCAATGCTGCGACTATGACGATGAGTTTGACGAAGGGCTCAAAGAAGCTGCAAGGCTGGTTTTGGAGACAGTTTCTCGGGAAGAGCTCAATGTGGAGGCATGGGGTTTCTTCATTGTGGCCTGCGGTCGCAGCTCAATGGTGAAGAAGTGCGACGTGTCCATCGAGAACTTTGCCTCTGTGACCATGCAATCGTTGGCGCCGGCCATTGGCATCACATCCATGCGCGAAGGGGCTCTGAAGAACCATCGATTCGCTGAGTTGATGGACCGCGAGGTCAACTTTCTAAAGTTTTGGGTGGACGCCTTGGTGATCAGCGAGACCTTCATCGAGTACCGCCCTCTCTTGGAGAACCTCAAGGACGACATCATGAAGCTTGGTGAGGCACTCAAATGAAAGGAGCACGCAAGGAGAAAGAAATAAAAAGGAGCACGCAAGCGGCCTCAGGGACGCTCTGTTATGACCAGGGTTTTCAAGAAACCTAACGTAGTGTTCAGATGTATCGGAATGTATCGGAATGTATCGGGATGTATTGGCTTTACTTTTCATACTCCCCAGAATGTATCGGAATGTATCGGGATGTATCGGCTTTACTTTTCATAGCCCCCAGGATGACCCGATACATTCCGATACATTCCGATACATTCATTTTCAATCAAGAAAAAAACAATCATTTTTTGGTTTAGATGTGTAAATTTCTAGTTTTTGTGTACATTTTCAAAGATAGATTGAAACCATAATTTGGATGATGTATTGAAGTTTGGCTCAATTTTTGAAATAGAGATCTAGCCGGATCCGATCTTTCTGATGAAGTGGCATTGGATGCAGGTCAATGGTGACACCTCGATGTACTCCAAGCTCATCGAAAAAACCTTTGAATGAGTGGGGCTCCTTGGGCAATGAGGGCTCGAATCGTTTGAGCCGCTTGTGGGTGGAACATCACAATGAGTCTTTTTATCTGACTTTGGCTCCATGTGTGGCGATAAAATATCGCCTTGAGCGCTTTTGGTCGCAGGGCCTGCTACTTCGTCGAGCTGCTTCCGAGCACAGCGGGTCTGACTGGTTGCTTTGCAAGGTCGAGTTTGGAGCGCCTACAGTGCCAGTCACTGTCCACCTGGAGAAGGGCGAGGTTGAGTCTCGCATCTCATGTCACATGATTGGTGGGACCGAGCTCTTGAACAAAGTGGTCAACAACCAGACCACATGGCGGCAGATTGCGAGGATGCTTCTGGACAAGGTGAACTTGTTCACCCTTCAGTTTATCTTCCTTGGCAAGATTATTTCCCGGGCCTTCTGGGACCAAAGCGTGGTGGAGCAGGTCGTTCCGGTGGAGGTCGAGTGGTCCAACGGAGATCCACCGACATATCCCTCTTCCAGCAGAGCCAAAGCAGGCACGGCGACAACAGGCAGACCTAAGAAGACAGTCGAAGATGAGAAGATGAAGGTAAAGGCCTCACAGAAGATTATGAAGCGCCCGTCTGCGAAGGGCCCAGCTACAAGGAAGAAGAGGCCGGCGGCAACTTTTAAACGCCCATCTGCCAAGTGAGTACGATGATGGCTATTGCATTGCATGTGTCAGCTCATAGGTACTGGAGCTATAGGTGCGCAATGCTTTGGTATAAAAAATTGAGAAAGTAAGCGGCCTAAGGGACGCTCTGTTTGAAGGATTTGTTCCTCAGAAACCAAAACAGTCAGCGTTGCATATACATTTGCAGCAGTTCTTTGTCTTCATTGTTCAAGTCTTTCTTCATTGCAATCAGAGAGTCACATGTGAGCATTTGTTTTTACAATGAGAGTTTGGCTGCAAGGAACGCCCCGGGGTTCAGTGTTCACAGAGCTGCCAATTCTTTTTGGCTGATGGCTGAGGTTCACGAAAGTCAAATGCCCCAGGTCGAGACGAATCCTTTGCCAAATGATCCTGACAGTCAGGGTTCTGCAGCAAAGGAAGTGACACCGTCCACATCCAAACCCCTTGATGTGGAAGCTGCAAAGGATGCAGATGCTAAGTTGTTTGCCTTCATGAACGCGGAAGAGTGCAAAAAAAACGCTCCAAACCATGATCGAAGCAGATGCGAAGACCCTGCCTGAGTCGCAAGCAGTGAAGCAAGCAGTGGATTTGACACAGCCAAAGAGTGAACCCCTAAGTGAGCGAAATGATGCTCAAGTTGTCAACCCCATTTGGAACCAGGTGGAGGAAGCAATGCAGGCTCCTGTGTGCAGAAAGTGCCAGATGCCATGCACCGTCACCGCATTGGTGAACAAGAGCAAGGGGGAGCCAAGGAACCATGTCGTTTGCAAAGGATGCAACTCGGCTGCTACAATGTTGAGCCGCAACTTGGGAACTTGGCCAGTGCCATCCTTCAAAGGACTTTCTCAGGACCAGCAAATTGCTTTCTGGAAGTCTTGCAACGACATCATCCAGAAGCAAGGGAGGTTGGACTATGGATCCATCAGGGCCTCACTGATGATCACCTTGGAGAAGAAACAGTACGAGATCGCAAAGGCAGAGTTCACCAGTAAGTTCTTGCCTTTGAGCGTGTGGATCCAGAAAGGGTACCAAGAGGAGGACATCCGCAAAGGCGAGAAGGAGGACCACCCTTTGCTTGGAGAGACGTTCGCCATCCCGCTCAAAACGGTGAGCAAGGCCTACGTGGCAGAGAAAGTGGAGAACATGATCGCTTCCTTTGAAGGCCAGGTCAGGAAGAGAAAGGCTGAATGCCACTTGCAGCTTGCTCGTGGTAAGAGTTCCAGGACTCTTGAGGACGGAGCAGCTGATGCTGGCTCAGAACAGGCACTCGAAGAATTGGCTTGGATGCCGACAGAATCACCTGGGAAGGCGAAGTTGCAGACACAGGAAGAAGACAATAAGCACCCAGAAGAAGCAGAGGAAATGACAGAAAAGGAAAAGAAGCGAAAGGAGGCGCAACTGAAGCGCCACAACACCCAAGTGACGAAGCTTGCTCAAAAAGGATTGGATACTCTCACTAGTCTGCAGAAGACTTTCATTCAGCATCTCGCAAACAAGCACATGCTTCCCATGCAGGCCGTTGAGGATCTCGAAAAAGTTGGAGAAGAGCTCACCTTGATGACGGCGGAGTGCCAAGAGGGCTTGAAAACCCTTCAGCCTGGCCAGATGAAGGAAAACCTAAGGTTCGATGCGAAATCGTTGGCCAGCACTGTGAAGGAGATGAAGGGCGTCTTCAGCCAATGTGAGCGAATGCACAAGCTTTTCAGCAAGGCCAAGAAATGAAGTCTTGGCCTGTATGTGGGATAGCTGTGTTCAGTCGACACGGCTTGCTTCCAATTAAGTGAAGCTTCTCATGCCGGGCTCAGCTTGAAGCATCCATCCTGGGTGAAAGCGCGCCGGAAAAAGAAGGCAGCGGCCTTAGGGACGCTCTGCGGATGTTTTTCTTGTGTTTTGTTTGCCTGGTTTTTGCAACCCTTTTTTGTTGCTTCTTGTCTTGTGTTCCTGGCCTTTATTTCGCAACACTCCTTTAGTAAACGAGGCTCCTCGGCTTCAGGCGTTGAAAGACCGGAAATATGAAACGTGAAATGGCGCCACCTTCAACTGCGCCATGGCGGCTACAAGCGCAGCATGTCCATGTTGAGACCCTGAAGAAGCAAGCCCGGGACAATCAGGAGAAGCTGATCAAATGTTTGCCAGCATCCCGGCTGATGAGGCACTATCTCTACTTGAGTCGGAGTGAGTCTTGTCAGCAGTTTGTGGGATTCAAAAGTGTTTGCGCATGTGGAAATGAATTCAGAAAACCGCCCTGAACCCAATTTACTTCTTTGGAGTGATGTCACCCACTTGCCATCCATCAAGGAATGGGAAAACGCGCTTGACTTTGCAGATTTGCTGAAACGTGAGCTGAGGTTCCGAGGTGTCAGGTTTTTCCCTAGACCTTAAACCCAAGTACGCGGGTGGGCATACAAAGCAATGCATGCAATTCATGCTGAACTTCCAAGTTCAAATTTACAAATGCAACAACTAAATTCGAGCACGTTCAGCTTCCCTGATTTGGAAAATAGTGTGTCTATAGTAGTCCTGGATACTGCGATTTGTTTCATCCCAATGTTATTTGAGCCAACTGTTGCCTATTGCATATATGCTTTTAGGAAGATGAGCCAGTTCTAATGAAAGGGTATCTTGACAGCGGCCCTACGGACGCTCTGATGTGATTGCTTGTGACACTTTACAAGTAAACAGGCTCAAATTATGTGAATGGTCTCAAGCAGCTATATATCCACCTCACGAACGAATATACATGACGTATAGCATGGTTGAAACACAAAGCACAAACAAAATGACATATAGTCACGACATGTTAGGACAAACGCAAGTCAGAAACAACAGACAAGACAAATATACCCACAAACAACATACATGACGAGGACAAGCGTTTTGAATATAATATAGCTCCTGCCTTGCAGTCTAAATACGACCCCCAGACTATGGAGGAACCGCCACCATGGAAACGTCGGCGAAAAGGTGTTTTGCAGGTGAAGCAGGAACCTGGTGCGGCGAAGCCTCTTTCAGTGGAGAAGAGCCAGTCTGAAAACACAACTGAGGACAATGTCTCTTGCCTCATTCGTATTGCAAGTTTCGACTCAAGTTTTGACTCAAGTTTTGGTTTTCAGACCAAACGTATTTTTGGAAAACATGTCCTTATTGAGAGATACTCCACACTTCCACAACACAGGTCGGAGACGCAAAGACTGAGTCCATTGAAACCGTTGAGGGCTACGGCTACGACCTCAATAAAGAAACCCAGTGGTTGCAGCGGTTGCAGACCAGGAGGAGGACAGCAATCTTTCCTAGTGTCCGACGTGTTTCTGTGGGTACATAAGCACATTTTGTATGACACAGACCTTGGGCTCATCGTATGTTTAACATCAAGAACTGACTCTCAGGCCACTCTTTTGTTTATGTGACAGGACGAAGACGATGCGATTTCTTTTGCAGCATCGAATCCACAAACTGCAGTGCCTGACCATCCCTCTTCATCTTCGAAATTCGTGGAACTAAATATACATACGGACACTGACGATGACGACACGGTGAAAGCTGCAGCAAACTCTTCGTCTTCGAAGAACATGGATGCAAACACAGTGGTTAGTGAGGTGACAGCTGCAGCCAACCCATCGTCTTCGAAGAACACGGTGGTTTCTGCGGTGACAGCTCCGCTACCAACAGAAGTTTCTTCCTGCACTGAGGAAGATGACATCGCTCCTCACATGTCTGAGGCCGAATTGGCACTGCATTGTGCGGATGCCAAGAAATCAGCCCGTAAAAAAACCTATGAAGCCACAGGCCGAAAACGCCGCCGTGGCGGTCAAGATAAAGAATACTATGCTAAATGGTCGCAACCATTTAGCAAAAAACATGGCTAGCT